CTATTCTCTTCCAAAGGGATTCCTCCAAATACTGGACACAATAAGATTCCTTCGACTTGCATTTCTTCAATTGCGCGTACTTCCCCGTACTTCCCCAAGTCGTCACCACAACAGGCAGCCGCCGCCCTTGTGGATTAGAGGGAGATTTGCGACTACGCGACTAGTTTAATACCAGGACGGTGGTGGGTGCTGGTACTAGTTTACTCTTAGCTGGGCTTCCTGGTGGACACGTCGGACTTCTTCTCGGCTTAGATCTGCTGGGGGATGAATCGACCGTTGTACATTGCGGCGCGACATCCAGGATCACCTACCAGCGACGATGAGGCAGTAAACCGTTGGGAGAGAATGCAAATGCAATTGTCTAATTATTATTTTACGATCTATTGTAACCGTCTTTTGTATATACCTCTATAAGTTTTCGGTGTAATTCACGTTTTACGGGATTTAGCACCGAAAGCGTGGTTGTTGACAAATTGTCATCAACCTTGTAATTGGAAAGATTGTTTTTTCTTTCTGAAAGACAGATCATGCGTTGTACTCTACTCACGGATAGGACCTGATCATTTTTATTTTGCTTTTTTATGTAAAGTGTCACGAGTTTTCACTCTTGAATACTTGATCACTTGTAGGCGTCCACCTTCAAAAGTATTGCGTACTCTAACTTTCCTTAACCTCACTGTAGTCCACATTAGGTGCCTTGTATGACTCAATGAACACACATTTGTTCGGTAGTTCGAAGTTGAACCCATTGGCGACAATTCGTGATTTCCGGTGTTTGCCGAATGGACGATGATTAATTTCTGGTTCGCTGCGGACTCCCTTGAAATCAGTGCGCGTTGTCCGTTGTGCATCTTCTTCCTGGAAATATCTTCATAGGCGAGATGGTTTGTGTTTCTTCATTGATACGGAATTCATTTAGTCACCGCACTACTCATCTTTTCTCATATGCGGCGGCAGAGACTTTTTGCAATTTCCCCATTTGTAGTACTGTTATGTCGTCAACGGTGGTATCATCACACACTACTACGGGTTAACTCGTTCTTTCGAGGGAGCTGGTTTTTGCACGTTGTAAAGTAATGTATGTAGCTTACCTAGTATGGAACATCTGTATTGTTTAAGTTAGTTATTCAGTACGGAGGGAATTGAGGCGAAGAAATGCGCGGGAAGGAAAACGTTTTGAAGGAGAGATACAAATCAGTGAACACTTTGATAAGGGTTTTATTCTAGATTTTTTTATCTCTTAAACCCACTATTATTGGGGCACAATCACAAATAATTTGCTTTCAAAGAACTTTAAAAAGAAAATGAAATATTCTGGTGAATAATCCAGCTCAATCGGAATTAATTTCAAACAAGTGTAATCGTTCGTGATTTGAAAGGTCTGTACTTCTGAGACTTGTATCAGCTCATTGTTCATACAGTCATTGCTGATAGTACACTTTTACAACCACAAGGATGCTGAGATATGTGCAAAACTTCCGACAGCAGCTGTCTGCAGTGGGGAACGAACGCGCTCTTACCCTTTCCAGGGGCTAACGCGTTCACCACCATACCATGCAGGCCCTTCGTTTCGTCCGTCTCTCATCTAGTTTTCTATCGATCAGTGCCATCAGCAAAATTGCAGCGGCAGCAAATAAAAAGTACATTTTTATTTCACAGTGCTGTTCATCGTTGTGCTTCCATGCAATGTATCCTTGGGAACATTAAAGGTACACAACTTCGTCCTTAAATAGAGTATAAATAGTATAATAGGATGGCAATAGAGAATATACGTATGCTGAAGCGCTTCGAGCGTATATTGTGAAAGCGACTTCCCAGTGACTCACAGCATCGTGTTTGAAATGTTGATAACTCACTTTAGCTCTCTTTGGCTTTCTTAAAGCATGATTAATTTATTTTTCGATCTTGTCGAAAGGTTCCACAACTGGAGAGATCTACTTCGGGCCGAAGTTCTTTATTGTCAGGGTTGTCGGATAGTCGACATCTCATCAGCTGTTACGGTAATCTAATTCGCCTCATTAACGCATTCGTAACAGTTATGGATAGATTTTGAATTTCAGGAACTACCCTTTCCATAAGTGGACTCACTGTTTGATTTTTCAACAAATTCAACATAAATTCGGCTGTATTAACTCTCTACTGTTATTTTTCGTTCCACCTATATCATCTCTTTCTAGGTTAAACATGCTCAGAAACATAGAAGATGAACGAATGAAGAAAAGAAATGTAACTTTCTTCTTATAGATCTTCATTGAACATCACTAAAAAACAAGTATCGTAGGCGAAAATGCATAACAAGATGACTAGTGGATTGTCGTGAAAGAAAAAAAAACGGCAAACAAGGAAGAAAATACTATACACATTTTTATATGTGCTAGTTAATGAACACGTATTTATATTAAAACTATAAGTTTTAAGAAGTGATTGACGTACAGACTATGAGAAGACAACTACTCCATACCGAAGGAACACCTAACACAGATTAGAAGCTGAAAATTCCTCGGCTTAAACTTAACGGGTATCAATTAAATTCCTTATTGAAACTATCCAATGACATGCAGTTATTCTCTGACGAAACTGACCAGAATGAGTGAATTCTGACTCGCAATTTTCTCTTTACTCCAGTGTTCATCCCACATAGATACTGATTTAAAGAGAAGCACCAGAAAAAAAAGACATTTTCAACATAACACACAGTGAATGTAGCAAGCGTGGCGGAAAGTGACCCGAATTTCACGATATTGAAACTAGTGGCGAAAAAAAGCAACGTAAGTAGTAAACATATCTGGAATTATTCCAATAATATTTTACTATAGTGATGACGCGTTTGTGATAGGCAGAGAAATAAAGGAGGAAAGAAAAAGAGCCGAAGAGAGGAAACGAGAGGAAAAGAGCGCAGAAAAATGAGTAAAAAGGTTAAGGAAAAACAGAGAAGCGTTTCAGAGATCATTATAGCATATTAAAGAAGAAGAAGATGAAAGAAACAGGAAAAAAAAACAGAGATGTTGTTCACTACTATACATGGGTTGACGTCCGACTGGGTGGTCGAATTTTGTCAGGTGATGATGAAAAATTATAATTGGAGGTTTTTGGTGTGTCGATCTCTTGAAGAGTTTCTAATCCTTGCATTTTTTCCACTGGTACACCATATAAATCCGATAAACCTTAAAACAGAACAAGTTGTGCTAAAAAAATTTAACTATCAGTTTTTGTCGCAATAAATCAACTATTACTAGATATGATTCTGTATTTCTTCAGAGACAATGCTTCTATGGCCGCTTATCGTATTAAGTTACAAGTATACTGCGGTAGATTATGCTTTGAACAACGCTTATCCGGTTATATTTCATAAGACTAAGCAATGAAACTTATGATATCTCGCACGGACGTGGCTCACCAAGCCTTCCATCCCTCCGGATACCAGACTTGTCTGGAACGATTGCACTATTGGCTCGATAAATCGGTAGGCCACCGAGAGTCATTACAAAGGCCAGATAGGCATTCAATCACGTCCAACGATGCTTAATAAAGTCGAATGCACGGCGCATCCCTCAGGGATTGAACAACGCCGAGATATTTATCCTTTTATCCTCTTATGATGTATAGATCTTTGCAAAACGTGGATCCCAGGCCACATTCGAACCCGCAATCATACTTTTTAGAGGCTGACGTGGTATCAACTGCACTACTGATGACCTTGCTTTGCTTTTCTCCCAGTCAGTTTTTTATCTAACGATGCCATTAGCAACCATCCGTTTTCATATTCGTTAGCGACTAAGCCCATGAGATGCGAAGTCCATAATAAGAATACTATGAAACGGATGGTAAAACTTCTTCGTGAAGAATAAAAAGAGACGACGATGATAATCCCCTTCGCATCTCTCAGGCCATTGGACAACTCGTGAACTCGATAGGGACAACTCAAAAAATCACAATGCCTCGTCGAATCAGTTCATCATCGACAACAGGGTATGTGATAAGGGTGCATAGATTTACTCACATTAAGCGACCGCACATATCGAGGTGGTTAGAGCTTTGCTTCAGTATGTACTGGTTCAACCCCGGGCATCAAGGAAACCAAGCTTTCCGTCTTTCCGAGGTGGACAAATTGGTACCACACTAGTCTGCGGGAAAAAACCGACTTAATAAGTTAACAGCATCTTTCAAGTCATTGTACAGGCCAAATATGCATTCAATCACCTCTACGATGCTAACAATGGAGTCGAATGCATGCTGTACACCTAAGGAATTGGTAAACTTCGAACGTCCCATGCTTTAATCTCTTATTATTAATGTAATATTACTACCATACAGAAAGCATAGGCATAAGTCTAGAGTCGAATTAGTCGACATCATACCATTTATTAAGGAAACACCTACTTAAAAAGCCTTTGCAAACCAATCAATATTAATATATACCTTAGAGGCTTCTCATTATTAGCATATTATTAGAGAGGCACATATTATTGGTTTTTTAAGGTCCTCGACAAAATTATCCAGATGAAACTGGATAAGAGAAAAACCTTCGGAGATTTAATAATGTTGAGTGCATGGACTTTGAAGAAGCTAAGAAACCTCCTGGTGTTGAGACTCCTGAAGCGAACGAGCCGTACGAGTGTTCATATCGGCCACACATCACGTTGTACTCAGTCGACGACGAATTAACGCATTTTGGATAGAGTGAGTTTGAAAATGTTGAAGATTGTATATAATCCAAATCTGGATTATTTTGCGGAATCGATATATAATCCTGAAATTTTTCTTGACGATGAGGAGAAGATAGGAAATTACACACATTAAGAGAATTGTGGGATTTTAAAAAATCACTACCATACAGAATAATTATAAAACTTTTGTACCTTTGATGAGACAACATTCCCAACTTCTGCTCCACAACTATACATTTCAGGAAAGAATGAACCATCAAGAACTTCACATTTCACTGTTACTTCAGATGGATCGTCTAAATGTCAACGACATTTTGCAAATTTTTTCGAGCTTTCATTTCTTTGGAAAGGTTTTATTAAAAGCTTTCTAACGAACTTCCGAGAACTCTTAGTCAATCCAAGATGTGAAAAGTCAAAAGAAATCCTACCTTGTATTAATGAGGCTTAAATTGATATTTATATTATTGGCTTTTCATAAACGATTCTATCACAAATTTTTCATTACCAAGGTATTTAAAATGCCCATAAAACCAGGAGGGAAAGTTCTCTTTTTAAGTATGATATTCGCAGTTCTACAAAATTGACATATATATATACATATATATGTATACATGGGGCAGAGAGCACAGTGGTAGCGATGATCGTCATCATGAGCATGGTGCTAATTCGATTCCGCTCCGGGCAACCATTCCTTTCATCCCTCCAGGGTCGGGAAATTGGTACCGGACATCTCTATGAAAAAATTACTCTCTGCAATCCAGTTTGGAACGCTCCAGCCCAGTTATCTCAGGACTCTAGAGAGAATTGCTCGACCAGCATCCTACGACATTCAAGATAAAATGAAAATCCTTAAGCAGCAACTGAAATCACACGTAAAAAATTGGAAGACCTTCGTGGACGGTGGATGCGAGGAAACGAATTGGACGTGAGGAGTGCTGGGATCCGCACGAAAGACGTGGAGAAAGATCGAATAAAAAATAGGTATGTATATATATGTGTATGTATGTACATTTATACATATACATATATATATATACATATATATATATATTGCATCATATAGTACTCAACTGACAGGCCCTTCCATGTTGTGGGGCTCCACTACTCATGCTATTCAATACGTTGTCTTGTAGTGGCTATCAATGGAGGTGGTCGGACCCGTGGATAGATTCGGACATGGGTTGTCATATATAATCTATCGTTTATCCCCACATATGCAGTGAATGCTGGCCGAGTGTTTTACAAAATCCCTAGATAACCGCCCCAGTGGGATATTACCAAATTTCTACAGTCGCCGACCATTGAAGATTACAAGGAGTTTTACTCCCATGCGACCAGAATTCTAGATCTCACCCAACGAAATAATAGACCAATATTAGATAGAGCTCTGTGCCTATATATATATATATATATATATATATATATGTAAAAGAATAAGTGCTTTACACTTCACTGCACGACGATGTGATACGAGAGCACTGTAGAANTTCTACAGTGCTCTCGTATCACATCGTCGTGCAGTGAAGTGTAAAGCACTTATTCTTTTACATATATATATATATATATATATATATATATATATGTAAAAGAATAAGTGCTTTACACTTCACTGCACGACGATGTGATACGAGAGCACTGTAGAAGAAAAATACCTGTAGACACCTTTCGTTGTTGTGAAATAAGAACCACAACTAACCTACAAACTTTTTGCTTTTTTCTGAATATCTGTGTCGTTTGCAAATCATATAACAACATGCAAACAGAAGCAACATTAGAAGACCGGCTGCTAACGAAATTAGTGTGACGTGATCAAGTGATGCTGAAATGAAATGGACTTTTGTTGTAAACTTGAGATACGAAACAAATGTTAATCACACGAAGAAGTAACGTTTATCATGAAGAGACGAACTACCCGAATCCCATTTCTCACGTTTAAAGATTGGTTACTGAAATATTATTCAGTTCAGAAGGTCAGGCAAAGTTACATAGTTCGTAAACCGGGTATCGTTAGTCCGACATATGTTTTTCAAATTTTCACTAGAAAAGGAATTTGCATAGTGTTTCGTCTAATCAAACGTCTAATCTTCACAACCAATTCGATATTAATCGTATACAAGACTTCGAGAAACCTTGGCTAGGATTAAATCGTGATACCGTGAAGGAACGCTGTGATAATGCAGCATTATGGTATGACATGAACGAGCCTCATATCTATTGTATGAATCGCTAGAAGCATCACCAACCGAATACGTCGGTCATTCCTCTCGCCTTCAAAAGAACACCCTTCGAATCGTGACCAATACCATTGCTGGCCGTACAGTTATACAATCCCATGTCTACGTTCCGCAATTCTTTAATGGTTAAACGACTTTCGACACCATATGAACGTGGAATTTGACGCACCTTAAACGGAAATATAGTAACTCCTAGTATGACAATTTCAGGTTGAAATTGGAGAACAAAATGAAGGCATATTATAGAATATGTTAGAATTTCCATATTTGCTTACGAATATTTTGAGAAATTGCATGTTTTGTATTTCTATTATCGTACTATGCGGTTTCGAGAGCGCATGTAACGCAGTGGTTAGGGGATCCCGCGCCAAAGGCTCACTAAGTTTTCCATCCCTCAGTAATTAGTAAAATGATGTCAGACCTATCTGGTAAGATAGCATCACTGACTCGATACATCGGTAGGCCAATGCAAGTCACGGTATAAACCAGATATGCATTCAGTCACCTCTTACGATGCTTGGTGGAGTAGCATGCATGGCGCATCGCTCAAGGATTGATCGACGCCCAACACTATTCATCATCCTTATCCTTATGAACTTTCGAGTAACTCTAGTAGTGTAAACGTTTGCTCTTGAATTTGTTGCTTGTTTAAATCGACTTATTAACTCACTACAGGCAATAAGCTGGCATTTTTTTCTACGTTCTGTTAGAACGATCACTTATTTTAGATCCCCATTACCATGGCTAAAATATTACATCTCTTATTACACTTTTACCTGAATAAAAAAGTCATCAAGTTACATGAGAAATTTTTTATGAATCATGGAATTATGGAGCATTTGAAGTTGTTGGAAGTAATCATGTTGTGCTATAGAAACGTTCATAATAAGCATTGATTAATCTTACTTGCATTCTTCCACTACCGTAGTTCAGTGGCTCGCCATTTTTTGTCCACTGAGTTTCGAGTGGCTTTGGTCGACCACTAATCCGACACGACATCTCTGCCGTCTCACCGACTCTGGCCGACAATTCAGCTGGAACTGTGATCACAGGAGGGCCTAAAGTACTCATATGGCACATTCACATGCAATTTTCATAAGCATATCCTTTGAAAATCTAATATATAGTTCACCTAGTGCTACTGTTAACTAAACTAAAGAGACGTAGCGAATGGAATCTCAACAAATAAGCAACATCGTAGTTGACATCCACATTTCGCAAAGATGTTAAATTCAGTGTTTTCCACTCCTACGGAGCTCACTGATTTCATCCATATGCAAAATTAAATGCATTTAAATACCGTCGACACGGCAAAAGCTTCTTGACTTGTTTGTCTAATACATCAGAAGTAAAGGAAAGTGAGATAATGTTCTAACCAACATGTGGTGAATTACCCCCAACTATCAGTGATGGAGCACGGTATTCCTAGTGAACAGATTAGTAATCATCCATAAAACGATACCACGAATGTGAAGAAAGTGTGACATCGTCGCATGCTTGAAGCTCTCAACTACGGCAGTACATATGTATTCGCCCTGTTGCCAAATCCGAACATTTTCGATGGTAATTCTATATAAGAACATAGAATAGACCAACAAATTTTTAATACACCCGAAAAAAGGAATAAAACTAACGTGTCGCCTTTTGATATAACTTGTTCATCTCCTGCTCGTGTCCAGAATACAGTCGGTAGCGGATTTCCGACCGCTTCACATCGAAACGATGCCGATTCACCCATGTTCACTTCCTTTTCCTGCGGAGTGGACATAATTCGCGGCGCAACTGAAATAGTTATAGCTGACCACATCCTCTGCTTAACTGGGTTCGTTGTCGATTTGGGATCCCTAGATCAATCCCGTTAACGAGTGGTTGCTGATGGCAGTGATCGATAGAACTAGTTGAGAGACAGACGAAACGAAGAACCCGTATGGTGTGGTGGTGAACGCGTTACTCCCCAGAAAGGATAATAGCGCGTTCGTTATCCACCGCAGACACCTGCGGTCCGGAGTTCTTCAAATACCTCAGCATAATTGTGGTTGAAATAGTTTTGTTACATTTTTGCACCCATATAAAGCCTAAATAGATGACGGTTCTCAAAAAAAGATTAACTTTATCATATTTTTGAAAACTACTACAACTATTTACTTCATTGATAAATAATAGTACTAGGTTTCGATCTGTTGGATTACGACTGGGATATTCTACAGTATCAGCATAAAAAGATACGTGCGTAGAGGGGAAAGTAACATTAAACATAGATCATCGTTCAGCTCAACGAGGACCACTGCAGCACCACAAGATGCATCGTGAATAGTCAAGAGGATCAGCATTTGGGCTGAGTGACACTTTAAAGAGAGCAATACAGGGATCCTGCTACCCTGGAAAACCAATACCAATACTAGGAACCACCACAGTCCTGGTATCAAAGTCGCATGGTGATAAATCTCCCTGTGATCCACAAGGGCTGCGACTGCCCGTGGTGGTGAAGACCTGGGGCAGACTTTCGCCAGGGTGACCTCGGGACTCTAGGGAACCATAACGGCTTAACCAGCAACTCTCCAAAAAATGGAGATTATGCTGGGGCACGCACGACCAGTGAGGACGGGCCATTCAAGTAACAAGTATCAAGTAATACAGGGATTGAAAAAAGTTACACATGGTCACGCCGTCGTATCAATAGAATCGAGTGCAGTTGATTTGAAGAACGCTCTCGGTATAACCACAATGATGCTGAGATATTCGTAAAACTTGAACCATAGGCTAGATCAAACCGCGATTACCCTTCCAGAGGGTCGCGTGTTACACCTTGCACCACTGAGGTCGTTGATTTACCTTTCTCTCAGTTAGTTTTCTATCTAGCGTCACGATCAGCAATCACCCGTCAACGGTATTGGCTGGGGAGACAAATCGGCACTGAACCCACAAAAAGGCAAAACAAAGGCAACAGCGGTGTAGGGTTTAACACGCGAGTCTCGGAAAGGGCAAATGCGGTTCGATCTAGCCTGGCTTCCAAGTTTTGCGAACATTTCAGCATCATTCTGGCTGTATTTCACACAATAACCTGACGTGAAAAATTACAATAAGCAGTAAATAAATGGTTAACATCGCTCTCGGTATAGTGCTGTTAGCACTGATCACGTTCTGTCACGAGCGAGCAATTCGTGCCAATCAAAATCTTTGAGTCGCTGTTGTTTTAAGCGCACCGATAAATTCCTGCAAGAGACCGTGAGTAGAGATGAGAGCTATGTTGGCCGCGAGAACAATATGCGTAAGGCTTTCCCACTACCTACCAACAATGACCTAGTGGCTATTCGATATCTAGTCCATACAGTCGCAATTTGTGATATTCGTTTCCTGGGACTCATAGTGCGTGGATTTTCAAGAATCGTTGGTAGAACCAGACTCTCAACGTTACTTCTTTCAAAGAGCAAATTTAAAACCAAGATGCCACCGTGAAGAAAAAACGACCAAGGCAAATAAGAGTTTGGATTTTCCATAACGCTCGGCCTCGAATTTCAATTATGAATTTCAGGAATGTGGTAGCAATGGATCAGAGTCGATAATATAAAACTATGGTTCGAGTAGCAATACGGCCCGTTCCAGGCTTCGAATAATTGCTTGTTGTAGAAAGTCTGTTGATTACGAAAGCCTTAAAAAACGGTTTTTTCAGCTACACATTTAGTCTTGGGTGACAGAGATAATCCATGACTACCCAACTCACAAAGTGACATATCACCATTGACCATAATGTTAAATATATTACCAATTACTGATGTGCTCGAACCTTACAACAGCTTTCTAATAGAAATTGCAACAGAAATACCTCGTCTGTCTTCTGAACAGAGACAGGGCTTGCTGTGTACGCAGAGACGAACGAGAACATTCGAACAGTTGACACACTAAGCTAACGAGAGAGTTAAAAACCACTTTCAGTTCCCTATACTCTCGCTCGACAATCCTCTGGTCGAACTCACGCCTTAATTTCAGTGACCATCCAATTAAGAACGTTCCCTAAGCACTTCTTTGGTGACTTGAGGGCAAAAGTAAAAAAGACTGCCATCATCTATTCATTAAAGTTTGCATACGGCCGACATCACATGTTAAGGTGAATCTTTGGACTTGAATCTTGCATGCTATTCGTATGCCCGAATCCATCATCCGCGAAGGTCTTCGAACCTTGCGTGTGTGTTTTGCTGATGCTTGAGGCTCTCGTTTTCTTAGGGAGTCTCGCTGAATGCTGGTCGAGCTGATTCTCCCAGAAATCGTCAGACAATCGTTCCCCGTTCTTCGTCACAGGCAGTCACCAACGTCCATATATTTCAGACAGCGTGCTGATTCCAGTGAAGTCTCGTACTAATTTACCAAATTTGAAACGGTTAACTGAAGTTGAAGGGCCCCTCGAGCCAGCGGCATATCCTCTGATCACCGGCTCTGAGGAAGACGAAGACGTCGAAACGTTAGCCGAAAATAAATATATTTATCAACTTCGTGCAAGCTTATCAAGAAAGAATACATATCCTCTGATCGTTCAAGGACACTTCTAGTCACTACGCAACACGTGCCCTTGCTAGTCTTCGTAACATCTATGTTCAAAGCAGTTTTCTGAATAAATAAAATGAGGAGTAAAAAGCATGTCCAAATTTGCGACAACCTATACTATATTACACTCTAATAAAAGACACCATGCTTTACTCGTATGGAAAAGTTTAAAGTAGAATATGTTCAAACTCTAGCGAGATTGTGTTAGCGTGACCGGTCAGCATCAAAAACTTCCGGCCTCATCATTTTTAAAAAACTTTTACCTTTCTTACCACTAAAAACAAACAGCAATAATGTAAAAAAAAATGGAAAACGAACGAATAATGGAGCAAAAAATATATTGTCAACGGAAATCCGAGGAATTTTGCCAACTTACAAGAGACGTCCATCTTCAGTGTAGCATGGGTGGTGCCGATAATGTTTGATGCCTGACAAGTGTACTCGGCCCGGTGGTCCTCCATTTTGAGCGTTTCAAATGCCAATGTCTAAATCATCGATTTTTTTTTAGAAGTAAATGGGATAAAGTTCAAACAGTGGCTTTAATTACTGATATTTAAAAATAGCAACAAGCAATACAACAATTTTTCAGTAAGTATGCGGTGGAGATTAAAGATGTTTTACTGATAAAGGCTTTCCTAAGTTCTTATTTTTTTGCTCTCATTGTTCGTCTTCGCACTTGTTCATCAGTGTTGTTTAGTGGTCTTACCACAGCATTTCGAATTAGCAGCTTAATTTAGTTTGTGGAAACCACCTCTCCGACAGACGCTTAAATATAAGGGCAAACGAGAATTAACTGATAAAAAACCAACATCAGTGGTTTGAGGTAGAAGTTGGTTTCCATTTTTGAACCACGAGATATGAATGTTGTCGAGTGGTTTCGCGTCCACATTACAGGCCAGGAGAGCAGAACCGCCTTCTCGAAGACGATGCGTAGATGCCAACGTCAAGTTAACCCGTGGAGCGTATTGTAGCACGAGTTTCACAGAATCCACCTCATTCTGGAATTCAATTTTTACTCTTCTAGTTTTTTAGAGTTCCTTACTACAATAGTTGGCTCATGGCGACTTTTTTTGGCCATATTTACACTTCTTTTTCAAAAATTTTCGCGAAAACTTCGATGTCTTTTCAATTCGTGATCAAGCTTTGTATATAACTGCAAACAAAAGCTAAAAAGTAAGTCCTACCTTTTCTGGAAAGGTATCATGCTGACTGAGGCATAAAATATATTTCAAATCATCATCAGGGCGTGGGATAAAACTAGAATGGAATATTTCTAATATGTTTGTTTGAAACAAACACTATCTACTAAGCGAAAAAGTTATTTTAATATAATCAACCCTCACCTAATGTTACTGCTAACGATATAACCATTGCCGTCTTTTTGCACCTCATCTTCCGTCTCAGCTTGCAGAGATTCTTGCGTGATTCCAGATGTTTCTAGAATTGTTTAAAACAGTGATATGTGAAGGCATCCGATTTTAAAAGTAGAAACAGTTAACAAGAAGCTCGACGTTACCGGAAAACTATCACCTAAAAGCGGACCCAATGTATTAGGTTTCTAACACAATGCAGCTTTTAGTCAATGTAATAAGAATCCTCTCACTCCTTCCACTTCTCGGATCATATGTGACTCCGACTATGAATTTTAGAATGATCATCCTGAGCAACCACATTATCTCAGGAAACCTCAGATCCTTCATTTAGAAAAAAACGAGGAACCTTTTTGCTGTATCGATCTGTGGGGCAAATGATGGATAGCGATTACATTTTCCATGACGTAAGAACTATAAGAAGTTGACAAATAGTGGCTTAGATCGGAAAACCTTCTAACTTTACAAAGCTGGCAATTTGTTTTGAAATGCAAGTATTTAAAACCTGCTAACTAAGGTAGGGAACATTAATATAACACAAATGAACGGCTCTCTGCAATGATGTTGCACTTGGGAAGGTGTTTCCTTACGGAGCACACCATGGATTTTGTTGGTTTCAGCAGCTTCTTAATGGTGTTGTGAGCCATGAATTCGAAAAAAGGTCGGAGATAATCGGCTAACGTCTACGATGACCATCTCAGGAAATGGGATGCAAAACGCTGGATTATCCCAGCATATTTTTTGAAATTTTCGCCAACTTACTACAAATTTTTTGAGGATCTTCAAAACTACTTGCTGAGAAGGCATTCGCTAAGAATTTTTGGCCACGGTGAAGTAAAAATGTGCAACTTTATTGAAGAAAAGATACTGATAGTGTGAGGTGAAGTGGATTCATCTGCGAAGACCTCTCCACATCCAAACCATGTTCCACATTCCTTTGAACACGTCATGGATCGGTCTGTTATGTCTTAAATACCTTATGAATCGTAGAGATTCGTAAGGTATCGAAGGTAAAACAACGATGGGGTTTCCTCATGTTAACTGAATTAAAACTGATAAAACAGTGGTAGCAACAGCTGAATGTACTCCTCAAGGAAGAAAGAGAACATGAGGACGATTATCAACAGAATGAATTCATGTTATTGCTGCCTTGAAATAGTGCTTGCATGCTTGCATTCACATCTGGCACTTCTTTTTTCTAACATCTAGGGCTCATAAACGTAGCAGCGAAGCTAAGCGTATTCTTTGATGACAATGCGAGTGAAAAGAGAGCAAGAAATGAATGATACTCTAAGCTCATGGGAACGGTTAGGACATTTCATCTATGTTTTTCAGCAAAACACATGAATTACTCGATAAGTTAATGCCACGTTTTCATGAACAAACATGCGAAACCAGACTATTTCTCATGCTTTTCTACGGTTAGGTAGAGCCATCGGGGAAATTCTGGCATTCACTTGCCGCATAAGATTGTTCATCACAGAAATATATATATATATATATATATATATATATATATACAAGACAATATTACAGCAGCTACTAATATTAACAATGTTTTTTCGCCTAATGGTTTTCACAGCAACAAAACTACAAGAATTAGAAATATTTGTTGAAAAGAGAGAGAAATCAATTATACTCACTGAATAGATGTGAAAACTTTACTCGGGTCTCACCGAGCCACGTAGCGATATTTCTCCCATCTGGATCGGTACTTAATGCCCATCCTAGACGAGGTGGCGGTTTACCTGAACGGAATCGGCATTATTCAAGCAAAATGTAAATAAAAATAAAAGGTGAAAATTTATTCTGTATAGAAAAATGAACGTTCTTCAAACCTTTTTTAGAAAGACAAGATTGAACGACAGTTTCTCCAGCTATCGCGTTTATTACGTGATTCGTTTTGTGCAATTTCGGAGGAGTAGGTCGAACTGGAAACAGAATGCTCGTATTGAGGTACTGCGCAGTTACAGTAACCTTTCCTGTTTAATCATTAATATATCGATGGACGTAAGAAGATATGTTCGACAAATGTAGCAACCGTAGGATAGGAAAAGAATTTGTAATATAATTACTGAGAAACTCTTTTAACTAAAGGCCACCTTTGCTTGAGTTTTTCGCTACGACAATTTTCTTCAGGATGCCGGAACGGACGGAAGCATATGGTAGCTTCAACTTCTAAGTTAAAAAAGCAACAAGCCAATTTCAAACGTCTTAAAGGTTTTATATTTGAAGACATTTTCAACACGAATAAAATCACTCAAATAAATTGTGATAAACAATTGTTGTTAAAGTAAACAGAAACATTAAAACACATACAAATAAAAATTGTTGGTCTTAATAAGTTAAAAATAAGATCTTTCATAGCAGCTGCACATTACTACGTTTTGAAATTTTGAATTTCTCGTCAAATATTCGAACGTTCGATCTCGATCGCTGGCTATTCTTCGAATTCGAGCTAGCTACTAGTCGACTCGTTCACATTGTTTTGAGTTTCAATTGAAGAATGATTCGCCGAATATTCGAATATTCGAACCACACTGTGTTGCTCGATTGTGTTGGCAATGTGTTCGAATAAAATCGTTGATGTGATGATTGGTGTCTGTCGGACGAAAGAACGAATAACGACACTACTCGGGTCATTCCTCGTAACGACAAAGAAAAACGGCCTATTCACTATTACAGATTGAATTTTTCGCTTCAACAATGCGCTCCATAGTCGACCCACGTTGTGGATATTGAAAAGCATTGCTTTGGGAGATTTCATACAAGTTTTATTCTTCGTTGTTCTTTTTTTTTTCTAACGGCCTAAATGGCCGAGGTTAGCAGCCGACACGGCGATTGGCTTCATCGATGTGACGCATAACTTCCAAGCAAAAGAAGAAGAAAAAAAAACAATTTGTCCAGCAATTAAACAAATTTTCAAGTAATTTAATAGATGGTGTAAATTACACAGACGTTAACATAACCATGTTATATCGTACATCGTAGATCGAAGAATCATCAACCACTACCGATTCATCGCATTCACTTTTTGAATGAGGAGTAAAACTGACAGGAAATGTTATAAAAGCGAGCAAACAACAAAGATTTACGATATTTTAAATCTTTCAAAACACCAAAAATGTACTCTACTCGGATTTTTGGCACTAACAACAAAAAAGTATGAATTTTCATTGAAAATAGTCGGAGAAGAGTCACGACCAACATTAGTGATTTCATTTAAGGATAGAAAGATGGTTGATTCTATAATAAACGGTTGACTGGCAACACTGTGACTGGGGTACATCGGTTAGAATAGTGTCGATACCAACTCTGGATTTTGTTAACTGTAGGTTATCTTCTGAGTTTTGAACACTTAACCAGGTTCGAAATACGAACTCCTTTAAATTTACGTATCATCAATCAGCTCAGTGACGAAAATATAAACGGATTGAATTATAAACATTCTGCTAGATAAATTAAAGTAGTGTATTTACACAAAGTAACTGATTTACCACGACTTAATGGCGTAAATGATCGCCTACACGACAAATCAGTGATTTATACCTGAAGTTATTACAGAAGTTGCAGCACTTAAAATATGAATGGTCACAATCAATGTCGAAAGTAACCACAAAAAAAGAAATCTTAAGGAAAAAATCGCCGATGACTTGAGAATTTTAGGCCCTCGGACCAGTTGATAATACGGTTGAACAGTTGATTAAACACTTGCCGCTATTACTTCGATGTACGAATCTATATTACGTCGAGGAGTTTTGGCTTAATGAAATGTTTCAGTAGATTTCTTCAGAAAAATGAACTTGAAGGAAATGACTACCAACTTAGAACTGTCAACTTAGCCGGATTGGAAATCACTGATGGTTCTTGAGCGACTTCACTTATCTGACAAGCGTACACATCGTCATCATCGACAGTGGCGTTCGTAATCTAAAAATTAGATGAAGAAACATCTAATACTTTTCCTAAATAGAATTCCCTAGCATACCTGTAAATTATATTCTCCTTCACTTGCGCTACCTATCATCGAATATCTTGGAAAGAATTTTAGCTGACGATCAACACCTAACCCAAAACCGTTTTTCATCCATTGAACGGCTCCTTTCTAAAGAAAAAAAAACCTGTTGGTTTACATAATTGTCTCGGCACTTTCTTCAGAAATAAATCACAGATTCAAAGAAAAATTCCTTAGAATAAAGTGACGAAAAAAGCCGGATAAATTTTTTTTTGCAAAGCAGCATTCTATGTATTTCACATTCGAATTTTTGAAAGATTACAAAAACAATGAAACCAAAACAAAAGCTGTATAATCGAAACATTTCTGATGCGAATCCCCTCCCATCTTCCGATGCACGACTCCGACGTCAATCAACAAAAAAACGCTTTGCAATAAAAGAAAGAAAAGAACTCATTCGCTAGCAGAATTCAATGCAGTTTGAATCATAGCAAATGATCTCTCTACGAAATAAAAACTGCTCGGCACCTGATTGTCTACTTTGCAATTCAGCACTGCAGTTTGCCCAAGTAGGACGAATGTCTCTTGTGGACCCTCAACGATCGTTTGCTCTGCGTTACTTGTATGAAGCAAATACAGTAGCAGAGAAATCCACCAAACCATCTGGAATTCTCTGTCGAGTAATTCATCTCACATTAAGTAATAAAATAAACATTAAAACAATGCAGAATCTGTACTTTGTACGGCACGTACACATATAGATGGCACGTTCATATTATCCGGCAATCATTCAATGTCGATTTAGCAATCAATGCACACGCATTGAATCGTTGAATGATAGAATGGTCAATAAGAGTTTAGAAGAAAACTCTTAAAAGAAATAAGCAACGAAAAGCTTGATATCTAGAAAACTTTCATCTAAAGTATTCTAGAAACTCGATCGGGCAGAAAAACAACAGCCGTTATGTGTTCCAGAAAACTCCAACATGACAGAGAACATTATACACTTTGAAACAACTAAAAGTGAAAATGAAACCATCAACAATAAGTGAAATGTATGGTTGAAAAGACAGCCAGAAATAACAAGAAATTACTAGAACGAACAATAAATAAGAAATGAAAGGAGACAAAAAGAGCAAAAGTTCGTAGGTAGATGTTTAACTCTTGTCGCTTACTACTCGACAAAGTTTCTCATTTCACACGGGCTGTCCGATCTTGAAGGGTGGGATTTAGTGGGTCAAGTCGCGAAGCTTACTCGCCCATCGGGCATTAGTAGTGTGTCAGTCGGACATGGATGGCGGCCGGCAAAATAGCAAGCCGATTTTCTTTGTTCTATTTGACAGAACAGTTATGAAATATGATAATGAGATAGGAAAAACGATAGAATGTAATGAGTGAATATATTCTGAAGACGAATGACAATCGAACGGAAAGTATTCGTATGCTAATCAGTAGTCATGTGGTGACAAATGGCTACACAAGTCATCCGTCGATTCCAAAACCGAAATCGTCAAGGGAATTTCGTTTAGAGATGTTCAATTCACACGAGAGAAGAGAATAGACAGAGACACTAAGAATGAGTGAAAAGCCGATGGACGATCGACGCCAAGTGGTGTGTAACTTTTCGCGCGTTGTACTCCCTCTAATACACTAATCATATAGGTTTAAAATACGTCTTAATTAACCTCGTTTTAATAAGTTTTGTATTGAAAACCGTTTCTTTTCCTCAAGAATTACATAGTAATGCCGAGATTAACTGAGCGTCGACACTTCAAGTTGATTGCCACCAATAAAAGATCGAATCCAGAGTAGCTCAAACGAAAAATCGATACTCGTTAGGTTCAAAAATCGATTTCTCTGTGATTTCACTCATAACGATTTTATTAAAAAGAGCCTATTAAATATGCGCACATTGACTGATAGCCTTTTATCTAATGAGTAATACAAAAAGCACAAAGAAAATGGAGAAAAAACATAAAACGTTAGAGATATATTTCTAAATATTGCCAATAACAAATCAATACCTACAATAATCAATAAGTGAAATAAAATACTCGTTTTCAACTCAACAAGGTTACGGCCATAACAACGAATCCGTTAAAGAAATGGGTGAAAATTGTTTGTCATTAGAATGATAGGAAAGAATAAGTATTATTTAAAGAAATATAAGTAAAAAGGAATAACAACGTATAACTTTTATATACTGCTAATTATTTTTTCATGGCAGAGTATAATATGGAATCCAACCGCGGTTATGCAGAGATATTTGCAAAACTTGGACTCCAATTCAAATCCGAACCTGCGACTACCCTTTCCGGGGTCCCACTTCTTACCTATTGCACCACTGAGGCACTCGCTCTGCCTTTCTCTCAGCCAGTCTTTTAAAAAGAGTTATATTTAACGAGCGAATGGACATGGAACCATAAATGTATCGGCAAGAAGCACATATTTTCTCACTGTTTTACCTTTGGACACCAGCGTAGTGCAATGAAGCGCTATTTGGATAGATTCGATTGCCGCTTCGATTCACCGATACAGAATCTATTTTCAATTCTTTCAAAGTTTTCCAAGAGTTTTGAGCCTATATTATATATATATATATATATATATATATATATGCGATAAAGCGATACCCTTGAAGAGCCGTTTCCTATTCTAACATCAGGTTCGACACTTAACAAGTTCATTAATGAAAAAATTAAACTGCGATGTATGTAAATCCATAGAATTCATGATATCCTGAGGCTTTTGCTTGTCCTTTAAGATTTCGGTGAAAAAGAAATATGGCTCTGCTTGTGTAATGGTATTCAATTAAGAGTGCACATTACAGCCAAATGACCGACCCCAGCTGCAAGTAAACGACAACGATCATTAGCAGAATGTAATACGTATAAGCAACGACAACAAATCGTTAAAATGAATTAAAAAAACCAATAGAAGCCATGAAATCGAAAAACACAAGGATCTTAACTAGAATTTCAACAGCAAATTCTTTAGAGATAAGCGTAAGTGGTTTAAATCTTTAGTGAAAGTCAAATCTATTAAGAGTCGACAGATACCCTACTTCACATGTGTAAATGGCCTTTGCGAGCTTACTGCTTCAACATGATCGAAAGGTGTTTCTAGGTGTAATACAGTGATGTACTGTAGCAAGACCTTCTAGGTACCGTCGCCCATTGGGCAGCATTATCAACGTTGTGAAGATGCTCGACCTTTTCATCTTGAAACTTACTTGCCAACATTAAATCAATGCCAGAAGTCACCGTCTTCCTGGAAGAAATCTAATCGTAAGGTAACGGCACTGAACTTCGATCGACAACAACAGCTAACTAGTATAGCTGTTGTAATGACATGGAAAAAGTCCTGTCATTGAACCACTGGAGAGAAAAGGGCCGTGATGGCTAACGGGGAAAATTCCGGCGAAATAGAGGAAAAAAAGTGTTGGGATATGGCTTAGATTTTGTGACAACCATCTGTTCAGTTTCAAACTAAGATATCAAAATGTTTCAAAATGAAACCGAACACACTTCTAAACGCAAAAGCTCAATAAAAATTCAAGAAGTAAGTGAAAACAACAACAATAAAATAAATATTATGTCTCAAGAAGGAAATATATAAATAAGGATTAACAAGAGTTTCTAGAGAAGCCATTCTATTGATCGCTACAGTTAGCTTAGAAAAAAGCTGAATAAGACATATTTTCACTAGGAGAAAATTGAATGATTGAAGCTGTTACTAAACTCAATATTAGTTGGTTGAAGTTTACTCTACCTTTCTGATTAAAATCTAAGATTCCAGGTAGATGAGGCAGAAGTTAATGAAATAAACGATAAAACATAAAATAAGCAACCTAGACAACTCACAGAAAAGAAAAACTTCACCTGTAAAAGATAAATCATTAATAAACGGCCACAATATTTTGAACCACATCATTATCTACGGTAAGAGATGAGGCGTAGGAGTGAGATCATCGAGAATCCTAACCAGGTTACGGTAATTAGTGGCTAATGATTTGTGTAGTGGCCCCAAGTGAGCGTCAATTACTAGCTGACACAGGCAATTCATCTAAGAAGATTACGTCTATCCTCGTTCTGCTGTCGAATATGATAAGTGTAAAACCCAACCAGATCGAAGCTGATGCACCATATCATCTACTGACTGACTACCGTTTATTGAACAAGAACTGCTTGAATACTATATGTGTATTTTATAGAAAAAGTGTTATCTAAGTTTACAACGATGGCAAGTTATTTGGCGATGTGGTTACGATCAAGGAAAACAATAACTTCAATATGCGCCTTTTGATAGAATAACTCGAAACCGAACATGATTTCTGGTGTCTGACTAGTAATTTGAAAGATCTCACGAGAGCGGTAGGTCCTGATGCGAAGCACAGAACGATTTAGATTATCTCATCGCTGCTATTATGAATCAATAGAACGTCTTTATTTCAGTAATAAATATTAGTTTGCAAAAAGTTCAATAAACCTTATAAAAGTTAATTGGTGTCATGAGCACCGTGTTTCAGTACGTATAACAAATGAGGGGCATAGTGGATCCAAAAGAAAATAAGAGCATCGTAAAAAAACGATACAGTTTTTATAATGGAACTGATCAGCAAAGTCCGTTTTTTCTACTTTAGACATCGTTCAGTTTACGATGGTCGGAATGTATACGCTTCCAATCTGGGCGCCTTTCAACTTCGATGTTTTAGAAATTAGACATCCCGGCTCATTTCTTACACTTACAATTTGTAACCCAACCTTCTTTTTGTAGCATTTAGTTGTTTATATTTTTTCACTAGAACCTATAAAAGCGTGGCTAAATCGTTAAGCTACCGAGTGCTTAGCTGAAAACGAAGAGTCGGAATCAAAGTCAATAGAAAAAGAGCTTAGAACTCCACTCAGAAATGTCCGAGTGTTGAAAAACGCACACGAAACATTTATATGAAGAACACGGATGAACACCTGACGGATCAGTGGATTTTTCAAGAATTGATTGAGCTGAAAATACGCCACCAACCTGGACAGCGTTGCAAAAATTCCTGGAACAAATGTCTTGGAATAACTCGCTCACCGGCCCAATCAATTATCAGGAAAAAAGCACGGACTCAGAAATTACCGGCTACTCAACAGCTAAGAAGAATCATAAGAAGAAACACATAGGATTCGTAGAAATTTTCAAGGTGCGAGCTGCATGGAGGGCTTTTACAATTAGTGGATGAAATTTCTACACTTGAAATCTCTCACACTTCCCAAAATGGTCATCATCTGACTTAATCCAGTGCTAAAATAACCTCTAAGGCGAAACGTTCACACAAAGTTATTGTCCGGAGAGTAATCAGAGCAAATGAGGAAAACCTTCTCGTTTTCTCCAACAAAAATGTTAGAAATCTACTAAGAAAATATTCCAAAAAAAACTAATTTTTGAATAAAAGTATAACATCCTCAGGACGAATTTTCAACAGGTATGGAAATGTCCATAGAACGTAAGCAACGATCTGGAGTAGGATGTCCTCGGATACTTTACCAAGGATCAGTGGGCTCTCTAATAGGTTTGACATTAAATCGGATGGATCTATTTGCTCGGATATTCCTGGAGGAGCGAAAACTAAAGAACAAGAAAATCATCAATTCAGGCCATCTGCGCGACGAATTCACCCAATTATGGTCCGA